CCACCGCCCGTTTCGAGCTTTTTTTTTTTTTTTTAAGTTATTATGTGCATGGGTGTTTTGTCTACATGTGTGTCTATGTGACATGTGCATTCCTGGTGCCTGTGGAGGCCATAAAATGGCATTAGATCTCCTGAAACTGGAATTACGTGTAGTTATTCCATGAGGCTGCTGGAAATCAAACCTCTAGAAGAGCAGCCAGTGACTGATTACTAAGTCAACACTCCAGCCCCACATGAACTTCCTGTATGGGAGGTTTGGGAGAGCAGAACTTCACTCCTGGTCTGCATTCTCCTTGAGTCCCGTGAGGGTTCAAAAAATAAGATTGACATAAACTTCACGGAAGAAAAACTGTACAAATTTATTGTATAAGTTTACATAGGGCAAAATTGCATATAATTGATAGGGACTAGTGGCTGGATGCTTACTTGAGGGTCACATGACCCTCCCCATCCCCCGCTTCTTCCAAGAGGGAAGGTGCCCAGTCAAGCCCAGCTAGACTCCTGAAGATGTCAGTGGTATGGTACAGAGGATAGTACTGTCCAGCAGCTACTAAGAGAGAAACTGTTAAAAAAGTAAAGAAGGGCTGGAGTTAGTTAGGTTCTCAACACTGACACAGGGCAGCGCTCAACTACGGGGGACTCTGCTGCCCTCTTCTGGCCTCTCAGGGATCTGCACTCATATGCATACATAAAAAGAAACCTTGTTATTTTTATTTTTGAGACAAGGTTTCACTGTGTAATCCTAGCTGGCCCTGAACTTGGTATGAGAGACCTGCCTAATTCTGCCTTCAGAGTTCTGGGATTTAAGGCATACACCACCATACCTGGCCCAAAATAAATCTCTTTAAAAAAAAAGGTTCCTGACTAGTTAGCTGTATAAATTCACATAGGACTTTAATTTCATTTTAAAATCTTTTCATGCCAGTACCAGGACTGCATATGTAATTTATCTAATGTGCACACTTAATATTTGTGAGGTCATAAAGTGCATGCATTTTCTGTTGATGTTGACATTATCATGTTGCCATGTAGTTTTTGACTTGTTACATCCACACAGAGAATTATGCCCTCCAACAATCTGGAAGAAAAAAGTGATGATGATGATGATTATTTTTTTAATCCCTTTGGCACTTCTTCCTGTGGTTAAATTTCACAGCATGTGGCTGTCTTACATGTATACCATCTGTCCCCTTATTAGCCATTCAGACACCAAGTTGACCCACCCATGGTGTCTGTTTTATGAGAGACTGAAAACAGCAGAAACTAAGGTTGGAACAGACTGGCTTTAAAACTACCCCATTGGCTGACGGCTGCAACAAAGATGTAAACATCCCCTTAGTGAAGAGCGGGCGGTTGATGGCGGTTTAGCACACAGCTAACATCCGAGAGAGTGTTGCCAAAGGAACCAGTGACACTGAGAATGTTTCTTAGCAGGCTTTGTGTTGCACGTTTTCAGGTACGGTTGCTCTATGTTACCCAGGCTGCCCTAGAACTCGGGATCCTCTTGCCTCCTGTTTCCTGTGAGCTGGGATTACAGGCGCATGCCACCGTTCCCAGCTTCTTCCCTGCTGGGTATAGGGGGTTACGCTGGACAAATACATGGCCCACTGTATGGTCATACTAAATCACTGTTTAATTTTTTTGTTACACGTGTGTGTGTGTTTGAGCGTGGTATTCACATGTATGTGCACATAGTACAGAACATGTGTGGTGGTCAGAGGACAGCTTGTAGATGTTGGTTCTCTTTCACATGTAGGTCAGGAGGACCGAACTCAGGTCGTCATGCCTGACGGCAGACGCCTTGACCCGTTGAGCCGACTCACTGCAGACTAGTTTTTAATGCCTTTTGGTTGAAACGGTCTCTACAATATATAGCCCAAGGTGGCCTCAAACTCTGCCTCCCAAGTGGGATTACAGGCATGCGCTACCACGCCAGGCTACTAACGGGCTTTTGTATTGCTTAGAGCCTTGATGACTGTTTTAAGATACCTGTACTAGCCTTAACACATCTGTAAAGCACTTCCTGCCTGTATACAGGGTAAGATCCTAGCTGGATCAGATACAAGCTTTGCAGATTTTTTAACCTTTTTAATAAAACAAAAACAAAAAACCCCTATAAAACACATAGGCCTTTTTGTTTATCATTTTTCTTTCATTTGTAGAATTTTTCCGATAGAGAAATGCAGAGGTTATACGATGTCCCTATTTCCATTCATGCTCTTCTCCCTGTTACACTTCCTGCCAGAGAAATCATGTGGGTACTCTTACTGACTTTTCTGTGTGTTGTACACGTGTGCTTGATGTGTTAATACATGACATTCCCCACCTGTGGGGCGCCTGTGGAGATTGTGTATGTGTGTTTCACTAGTTCCTACAGCTCCACAGATTTCAAGGATGTGCCTTATTCCCCTGTGGGCAGACAAGAATGTAACCTCTCCCCGTGGTTTCACTTGTGCAAACAGTAGCCTGGCCTTTGTGGCCTCTTTATTTAATCCGAATAGAATGAGTGTGAAGTAGTCACTTCTGCTGTGAAGTAGATGTAACAGTCACTAAGCAAAACTGTTACCAAGTCCTTCTGAATGGGGGTTTTTGTTGTGAGTGACAGAGGCACACAGTGTAGCCCAGGATATTCTTGGCAATCCTGCCTCAGTCTCCCAACTGCTGGGGTCATAGGCATTAAGTGACTTCATGGTTCAAAGCCATGGGATGATTCTCTACTTTTCCTGTAACTGTCTAACAGAGTTACCAGTGACATCAAGTAAGATTACCATATCCAGAATCTAAATGGAACAGTGAAATGTCAAGGTCAACTTAGGGGACACGAAAGTATTCTCCTTATATTCAGTGTTTCATAATGAAGAAGCTTGACATTTTGCTTGGCAGGGACATATGTCGAGAAGTGCAGTATTCCAACAGTGTCCATACAGTCCACCTTTGCAAGGCTCTGTCATCTAATGGATCACTGTTGTATGTGTGGCCTGTTGACCAGCATGTGGCTATATAGTATATCACTTAATAACTAGAAAATTGAATTGTTCATACCATTTTCCAGTGATTTCAATAACTTTTAATCTGATATCCAAATCTTACTAAAATCACATGGCAGGCAGCTGGGCAGGGTGGCCCATGCCTTTAATCCAGGCACTCGGGATGCAGAGGCAGGCAGATCTCTGAGTTCCAGGACAGCCTTAGTCTATGGAGTGAGTTCCAAGACAGCCAGGGCTACACAGAGATACCCTGTATCCAAAAAAGAGAAAAAAAAAAAAAATCACATGGCAGGCAAACACATAAACCCTACCTTTATCGTGCCTCAGGCAACTTCAGCTGAGACCTTTTCTGGGACCATCACATCCACTTCCAGGATGGAATGAGAGTTGCTAAGTAAACATCTGTTAGGTTTGGCTACAAATATTTTACTGACCAAAAAATATACTGTGAAAGGAACTAGCAATTAGTATGAAAGTATTGCTAAAATCCCACCATAACTTTATTGAAGTTAACAAAATCATTTCAACATTTTGAATGGCAAATAAAAAATTCTGAGAACTGCAGATAAGAGTTTTTTAAATTAACAGTTGGTCCTAAGTGTTGTTTCTTATATTGATATCTATCTGGCCTAAGATCCATATAGTTATTCTAAATAACTATTACTATTGTGTTAGTAATGGTTTTTGTTTTTTAATATTTTTATTTTATTAAATGTATGATTTTTTTTGTTTGGTTGTTTTTTTGAGATAGGGTCTCACTATGTAGACCAGTCTGGTCTTTAATTCAGATCTGTCTACTTCTGCCTCCTGAGTGCTGGGATTAAAGGTCTGCACCACCAAGCCCAGTTTTATTTGTGTCAGGAAGTATAAGGCACAGTGAAGTGTGGAGGTCAGAGAACAACTCTTGGGAGTTGATTCTCTCCTCCCTTATGGATGCTGGGGATCAAACTAAAGTCATTATGTTTGGTAGTGGGAGCCTTTACCCCCTGAACCATGCCATGAGCTCTAGTTTTGGTTTTTGAGACAATTTTTTGGCTAGGTAGCATCCAGGCTGTGCTAAGGTTTGCAACCCTGAAGCCTCCTAAGTGTTGGGTTTACAGGGATGTACCACCACATCCAGTAGAAAAATTACTTCATAAGAAAGTCATGGTGCCGGGCAGTGGTGGTGCACACCTTTAATCCCAGCATTTGGGAGGCAGGCGGATCTCTGTGAGTTTGAGGCCAGCCTGGGCTACAGAGCGAGATCCAGGAAAAGTGCAAAGCTACACAGAGAAACTCTGTCTCGGGGAAAAAAAAAAAAGAAAGTAATGGGGTGTGTATGTACATGTGTGCACGCATGTGCTCACCAGAAGTCAGCCTTAGGTGTTGCCTACCTTATTTTTTTGAGACAGGGTCACACTGGGGTCTGGGGCTCTCATATTAGACTAGGCTGGCTGGCCCGGAAGCCTGAGGGATCCACCTGCCTCTGCATTCTCCATCAGCCAGGTTACAGATACGCTCCACTGGACCTGGCTTTTCATGCGGCTGCTGAGGACCAAACTCAGCCTTGTGCTTGCATGGCGAACACTTCACCAGCTGAGCTGTCTCCCCAGCTCCATAAGTAACATAATGTTTTCCCAAGAATATTTGTTTATAAGATAGATGAACACTGAAACTGTCAAAATGTGGAAAAGTATTTTATAAATAAAATGTCAACATAATACATTTTATAGAATACAGTACTAATACATTTCTTATAGGACATGTGTTAAAGGTTTGATTACTTAAGCTGCATCCTAAAATTAAAAGGGAGGGATGTGGTCAAAACATATATATTGTTAATATATGTATTAAGATATCATAATGAACTTACTACTTTGTAAATTACTATGCTAATACATTTTAAAAACAACTAGAAAGCATACAACTTACTATCAACATTATGTAATTCTTTTTCTGTTTTTGACAACAGTCTGTAATCTAATCAGCCATCAAATTCACAGTAGTCTTTGCCTAAGCTTCCCAAGTATTGGGATTTACAAGTATCCTCCACACCCTGTGTTCTTTCTCAAAGTCTTTACAATGCTGAACATCAAACCCAAGGCCTTCCTGAAACTCGCTATGTAGACCAGGCTACTCTCAAAGTCAGAGATCTGCTGCCTGGCTCTGCTTCCCGAGTACTGGGATTAAAGGCGTGCACCACCATGTGCTAAACCCAAGGCCTTACGCACACTAACCAAGTGTCCTACCTCCGAGATACATTTTCAGCTCCCAAATCTGATTTTTAATAGCTCTAATTCTAATTTCAACTGGTTTATTTTTTAAATATATTTGACGGCAAAGAACAGGATCTTTTAAGAGTTCTTGAGCAGTTTGAATCTCTCCGGGGGTGCTGGACTGAACAAATGCAACCCACAGGATCAGAAATGTGAACACGTGAGTGTGCTGGATCATGCAAAACACAGCGTTCTGAAGCTTCCGACCTGGGGGTTGTGAGTGGGACACTGTGGTTCGTGGGAATTTTGCCTTCATTCTTTGCAGCCGTGTCCTTGTCTTCCAGCGCCCGGGCAAGCATGTAACTGACCTTTCTTTGATGGGCCAGTGCCTCTTCTTTGTCATTCAGCTGTGAGCAGAAGTTAGGGGTGTGCCAGTTAGTGAGTCAGGACATGTGCAGGCAAAGGACATCCGTCAAAGTACTGCATCCTAAATAGTAACTTCATCGCAATTAGAGTAATCCTGACTCAATGCTGGGGGGTTAAGTGAAGTTCTTAAATTTATGCGTGAGCGTGTTTATATGTGTACCATGGAGTGCGTGTGGGTGTTGGAGAACAACTTGCAGGACTCGGTTCTTTCCCTCCCCCATGTGGGTCCTGGAGTGGAATTCAAGTTGTCGGGCTTGGTTGGCAGCAGACTCCTTTACCTGCTGGCCATCGAGGTGGCTGCAATTGTGCTTTATTTTTTATTTTCGATTTTTATGTATATGTGTGTATATGTGCCATGTGTGTGCAGGTACCTGAGAAGTCCGGAAGAGGGTGCCAGATCTTCTGAAACTGGATTTACAGGTGGCTGTGAACCACTCAGTGTCAGTGTTGTGAACTGAAGTAAATGCTCTTAACCAAGGAGCCACACAGCCCTCTCTCCAGCCCGGGATTCTTTTTTTTAAGGGGGTGGGGTGGAGGGCAGCAGAGAGGTGGCTCATTAAGTAGCATACTTGCCATGCAGGCTTGCTGAACTGAGTCAATCCTTGGAACGCACATAAAGGTGGAAGGACAGAGCCGATCTACAGAGCTGTCCTCTGACATGACACATGTGCCATGACATGCCCTGCTCACGCATACATCATACAAACATACACCAATAATAAAGCTTCCTTTAAAAATCCCAGCGAGTCAGTGTTACTTCTCTCTAGCCCTGTAAGTCATGTAGAGACAGGGAGGACTGTACATACGTATGAAATCTCAACATGTACTGACTTGTAAAAGAATATGTAAAGCTGTATCTAAAATTGTTTTATGTATTTATATGCAAATAAATTGATCGGTAGAGCTGAAGTGTGTTTGCTCTAAGCACTGTGTCAGTGTCTCTGTTGAGTAGCCATCTGTGGAAGGGTACCAGGCCCGATTGCAGGCTGCATTGGTGACTTAAGGGGACTGTGACAAAGTGCCTGGAACACGCCAGTGCCCCGGGCTGCACATCAATGCAGGCACTGAACTGGTGGGAATGAGTCAGTGACCCCCTCTTCAGGTGTGGGACCTGTACAGAGGTGGAGAGAGATGGCAGGGATGTGATAGGACATGGTGCCCGGTGGACAAAGGGCTTAGGAGACAAGTGAGGCCTGGAACAGGAGGATTAGCTAAACCACAGCCCCTAACAAAAAGCAAGGGAAGGTCCCGTACTAACCAAATCTATTAGCATCTTAAAGACATCTTGTGGGTTGTCTTGGTCTTCAGTCCTCTTGGAACTGTTTTCCGAAGGAAGTATCCCCAGCAGCCTCTGCCCCAAGGTCTTCTTTCTCCTTTGTGCTTGATAGCCTAAAATTCAGTGGGAGAATCCAGCTGAGAATACACTCACTGGTGTTAATTGCAGTAAAAGAAGTATCTGTGTGCCAAGGCTAATTAATTCCTAAATCCAGAGATCATTCCCACAAAACCACAAGGTGTAGATTGCACAGCATGATGGGGGAATGTGGATTTCTGGGTATGGGTGGGGACCCGGAGGGGCAGGCTCAGGCCCTTGGTCATCACGGTCTTCTGGAGCAGCAGAAACCAGGTCTGTGTGTGAGATTTCCCAATTTTAGATGTCAGCCCCTAACCACACTGTTTGAAAACACCACACAGGCCGACAGAAGTGCAGGCCACAGAAGCCTGGTCCACGCCAACAGCTTAGCGCCAGAAAGGCCTGCCTGCACAGAGCCCTCCCTCAGCCTCCTAAGCACTGAGTTTCAGAGGGGTTTCCCGAGTTTCCTCCTGGCCTCTGGTGGGAACACTGCCTTCCTATTTGCCATTGTCAGTTTTGGGAAGACAAAATGTCAAGTTTACCATTTTAAACATCTTCACTGTATCCCACCAGCTGGGGGAGCTGTCACTTAATGACAGTGTCTGAGAAGACAGAACATTCTGAAGCTGCATGGTGAGTGGTTAGAAAATGCCTGCCCTGTTAAACTTGGTTCAAGTGGCAGAGTTTGTGGACATTATTTAATCATCATAGAAACGTAATTGTGAAAACACTTAGCCCAGTGTTAACATACAAAATGATTCTCTAGATCTTGATGCATCACAAAACAAAATTTGTAGAAAAAGCCAGGTGTGGTGGCACACCTGTAATCCCAGCCCTTGGGAGGCAGATGGGCACACACATGTGTCATGATGAGCATGTAGAGGTCAGAGGACAACTTTGGGGAGTCAGTTCTCTCCTTCCAGTGTGTGGGTCCCAGGGCTTAAACTGAAACATAGGCTGGATTGAGTTTCTGATCTCCCTCTACCTTCTAAATGCTGGGGTTTCTGACATCTGCCACCATGCCCAGCTAAATGCCTTTTTGTTTTTTTTTTTGAGACAAGGTTTCTTTCACTAGGTATCTAACGAGCCTATAACTCCTATGTAGACCACACTGGCCTGGAACCCACAGAGATTCACCTGCCTCTGCCTTCTTGGTTCTGGGATTAAAGGTGTGCACCATCATGCCCAGCTAAATGCTATGTGCGGCCTCACTTTCTTCTTGGCATTTGAGAGTCTCTTGAGTTAGTTCCTCCAGGAACACAGGTCTGCCCCAGCTTCTGGATGCTGGGATTACAGACATGCACCACCATTCCCAACTAATCAGAGCACTTGTATTAATTATGTCTCTTCCCACAAAGCAGAGACTTGTGTAAGTGAGGTAGAAGACTATCGGGAAGCACTGAAGAGATGACTTGGCTGTGATTACTGCTCTTACAGAGGACCCGAGTTCAGTTCCAATTACAGCCACCTCTGACTCTGGCCCCAGGGACTCCAGCACCCTCTTCTGGTCTTCATAGGCGGTTGTGGAATATTTATTTATGCAGAGATGTGCTGGATTTGTTTACCTTGCCTGCCTAAGGCACCTGATTGGTCTAATAAAAACAGCTGATAGCTAGGCAGAAGGTATAGGCAGGGCTTCCAGGCAGAGAAAGTAAGTAGGAGGAAGAATCTAGGCTTGACAGAGATAGAATTAGTAATAGTAATAATAATAAACATAGTTAAAAGAGCTAGTGCGATAAGCCTAAGCTAAGGCCAAGTATGCATAATTAATAATAAGTCTCTGTGTCTTTACTTGGGAGTTGGTTGGCGGCCCAAAGAAAATCCCAACTACGCTAGGCACCAGCATGCACATGTACACACACACATACACCACCCAAAGTGTTAGAAGGAGCTTATTCTGTTTCTTTTTAAGATTTATTTATTTATTATGTATACAGTGAGTATTCTGTCTGCAGGCCAGAAGAGGGCACCAGATCTCACTGTAGATGGTTGTGAGCCACCATGTGGTTGCTGGGAATTGAACTCAGGACCTCTGGAAGAACAGCCAGTGCGCTTAACCTCTGAGCTACCTCTCCAGCCCCTTATTCTGTTTCTTTGTGGTTTTATTAACTTGGAAGCTCATTTGCATGTGTGATTGCCAATGTCTTCTTTTAGAATTCCCACTGGCCTCAGCCTCCGTCCGGCATTGCGGAAGTAGTAATGTACCGCTATGCCTGGTGTTCCACAGTTGCTAATTTAAAACAAAATTATTATTGTGTGTTCGTGGCAGGGGGGGGGGGGGGGGAGGGCATGTGTGTCAACCATGGCCTGCTCGTGGAGATCAGTGGACAACTTTGTGGAGTCAGGTTTTCTCCCTCCTGTAGAGGAAAAATTAGTAGAGGCATTGTATCTATGGTAAGCATTAGAATGAAACAATGGTTTTCACTGTATCTAGGGAAAACTTCCAGAATGAGTAGTTGTTTTCCAGAAGGACTTGGAGAAATTGTGGAAAACTGATTGTTTGCAGTAATCGATAGAGCTTCCCCACCCCCCCTCGGAGCTGAGGACCAAACCCAGGGCCTTGTGCTTGCTAGGCAGGTGCTCTCCCACTGAGCTAAATCTCCAACCCTTCTTTCTATTTTTCTTAAGGAGCTTTAGAGCATTTGCATGACTTTGGTTACAAGATGGTCCTGGCACACCGGGATCTCTTGAATTCTTGAGGACCGCAAACAGTACACAATAAGGACTGAGGGTGCTGGGGTGCCGTATTTTCCTTCAGAGAGCACACAGATTGGATCGGGGGCTTTGGTATGGAGGACTTGCTTTACCAAAAACACCTTTTGTGTAACAATCAATCAATACACACACAGCCTTTGCACAGCTCTTCAGGGTTCAGTTCATAGGAACTGCTCCTCCCTGCCGCCAGAGAGTCTAAAATTCATCTTGGAGTGACCCTCTTTCTTCGCCCCACCCTGGAAACACCGAACACCGGCCCCCTCCACGTTTGGGCTCGGGGTCAAAGTCAAGTTGTTGGGCGTGTGTAGTAAGTACTTTTCACGGCTGAGCCATCTCTTCAGCCCCAACACGAGCTAAATCTCAAATGAACGGCAAGCACATGGGAAGTTTCCGTTATATCAATTAGATCAGGGGCTTTGGTATGAGGGACTTGTTTTACCCAAAAAACAACACCTTTTGTGTATCAATCAGTACATTGTCTCTGCTTCACTGACTTTGACTATATCCCAGAGCAGCCAACCCCCCCCCACTCCTCCTCACCTACCCCCCCTCCCCTCCTCACCCCCCCACTCATCCACCCCCCACTCCCCCAGTTACCATCCTCTTTCAGGTGTTGCCTGTTGATCCACGTTGCTGCTCTTCTCCACTTATCCCCGTGTGCCAATCTCAGGGCCTGGTCGTTCGTCCGCATGAGCTGTTGCTCAAAAGCAATTCTGAATGCATCTGCCATTATATGAGCCTCTTCCTTACTCTTCTGCAGAGTTTCCAACTGCAAGAGAGTTGGGGAGCCAGCAGAGGCGAAGGGAATCGTTTTTTGCATGTGAATCTCTGTATTCCTAGCTTCTAGTCCCTCTAGTCTGTCTGCTTAAGTCAGCACCCATCCATCCGACCAGCACTCTGGCCTGGATGCCAGCTCCCTGCCAATCCAGGTCTTGAAACTCCCAACCCTGGCTTGGCCCTGTGCCTGTCCTGCCCCAATCTCAGAGGAAGGGAACCGCCCAAGGCTGCATTTCAGTTTGACCTTGGTTAACACCGCACCTAGCTGAGCTTGAGTCTGATCCATGTGATTATATGCTGTTCTTGAGGGGTAGCCAGTGTTTGGCTGTTAGACTCCCCATGTGGTCTAAAAGGCTTTAAATTCCTTATCTTCAAAAAAAGGTAAGACAGTGGCTGGGCACAGTGGCACATGACTTTAATCCCAGCACTGGGGAGGCAGAGACAGGCGGATCTCTGAGTTCAAGGCCAGCCTGGGCTACAAAGTGAGTCCCAGAACAGCCAGGGCTATACAGAGAAAGCCTGTCTCAAAATAAAAAGTAAAACAGTTTTAGAATTTTTGGCAAATCACAAATTTGGTTTGTAAACTTAACCATTTATAATTAAAGTCCAATTATAAGGGCAACTTATCAGATGACTAAAGGTCTGGCCTGTTGATGATAAACATCATGTCTGTTTCTCCCAAGATATCGTGTTAACCTATGAGGGAACTGAGACTTATTCTGCCCAAAGCCACATGAACAGCAGACAGCGTTGCTAAGATGCACTCATATATGCATGAGCCTTCCTTTCGTTTCAGATAAGCACGTTCATCTTCCCACTACCAGTGTTGATTGTAGTGATTTTAAGTGTAAACACACCTCTTCCCTCTGTTAACTGTGATTTGGGGCCATGCATAAATGAGAAAATACGAATGTAAGAAATACTAACTGCACACGGAGTCAAACAACTTTACCTGGCTTCAGAGTCCATGCAATGTACTCTGTGTGCTTTGGAACCCGGTAAAAGAAATCTACTGTACAAGTTAATGCTATCACATAAAACCAAGCCTGGGTTCCCCAGCCAGTGACTCCTAAGGCCAAGTTCATTCTTGCAAATACTGCCATTTATCCCACGGCTCATAAAGAGCCGGCACCAAGGCGTCGGATAAATACCTCCTGTCTGAGCTGAAGAACCAGTTTCCGCGTGGATGCTGCCATTTTGGCACAAGAACAGGGGCTCCCTCCAGGACCGCGACACAGGCAGGCTCCGAGGACTGCAAGCTTGAAACCCAAAGGCACCTGTTACCAAGTGTCTCAGCCACATATAGACACCACTGCACAGCCATGCACGTTCGTCAAGCCTCTGATCCAAGAAAGTGGAAAGTGTGTGTGTGTGTGTGTGTGTGTGTGTGTAATATATGTGATGTATATAGTATATATATTTTTGAAGAAAACTGAAGTGAGGAATTCATAACCTGAGTGGAAATGACCACAAATGAGGCATCGTTACTTGCAACAAAAGCTTCAAAGAGTTTACATTTCTTCCTTCCCACTCTCAAAACCTTTAATCCTGGTATTCGTCTCCAATAGCTTTGAATGTGCAGCAAGAATTTAGCCTAACCAAGGCGTTAATACCAACGTCCACAATGAGTGCTTCCTGTGATAAGCGTGGCCTTCTAGCCAGCATTCCCTGTGTCCATCTCCTCCAACAAGACTGTGCTCAGAACGAACGGTGACTTTTATTATACCCCTGGCGAAAGCAATCATAGTTCCACTCTGGGGCTGGAGAGATGGCTCAGCAGTTTAGAGCACTGGCTGCTCTCCCAGAGGGCACAGGTTCAATCCCCAGAAACCACATGGTGGCTCACAACCATCTATCGTGGGATCTGATGCCCTCTTGTGGCATAAAGGCGTACATGCAGATAGAGCACTCACATAAATAAATAAATAAATCTTGTAAAAAAAATCACTCTGCAATCATGTACTACATTTTAAAATATACATCAATAAATAAATCTTTTAAAACATTTCTCTGCAGTCATAAACTATTTCTTGGGTAATGACAGTAGTGAAGTTACTTGTAGCCCCGGCCCCTCGAAACTTGACTAAGGCTGAAGTGAAGAAACAGGGTCACTCCTGGTTGACCCTGTAACTCAAAGAAAAGCAAGCCCCTCCCACCCCACCCCCACTTACTAATTTAACGGAGGTGAGCGGTCTATGTAATATTGTGCCATGCATTTCAAAGTTTCATAAGGAACTTACTGTAAAATTACCTAACTCCAGTCTGCCCAGGTGTAAACTACTAGCCGCGTGGCAGGGGGAAACTACCCCTCATCCCTCTCTCACCTCACTTGTGATGTAGAGTCTGCGTCAGAGTGGGAGGGTTAACCGTGTTAGAAGACCTGACCCTTGGGAAGGCCAGCGCAATGCCTGTCTTGGTGACGGGTGCCTTCTTTTTTTCTGGGTTCTCCACTGAGTGGAAGGCGTGCTTCTTATAAATCCCGAGGCCCTCTGTCCCTCACGAGCTAAACTTCCGCATTGTAAACCCCTGACGACACATCGGCAGAGCTTTGTTCTGGGCCCGGGGAAGCCTCGGGTTCCCTTGTCACTGTGGGAGAACAACAGAACCTACCCAGCCCTAGTTCCGTGACACCCCTTGGCAGCCTCAGTGAGGATAATGTGTGAAAGTCCTCGGAGAGAGAGAGCTGTGCCCCCAGCAGGGAGGCTCCAGGGGTGTGTGCTGTAGCTGAGGATGCCCCGCATGGGAGCGGCAGGTGGCAAGAAGCAACCTGCACAATCCTGTGGGCCGCTGGCACCCTAGTCAGTACAGCTGAGTACGTTGCTGTCCTAGAGCAGGCACCAGGGATAGGAAAGCGGCCAGTGTCCCTCCCAGCCACGTACCTCGAGACCCGACACCTCTGTAAAGCCGCTGTCCTCCTGACCCATGTTCTCCTGAGCCATCTTCTGCTGTGTGATGTCAAGCATGGCGAGGGCCTCCAAGTACCGCTGATTCAAAACTAGGAAGGGCCACACACGACAGTGTTAGTTCTCTGAGGCCGACCGCGGCCTCTCTGTGGAGTTACACCAAAACCACACACTCATTTCTTCTAAGCAACACGGACATCAGACAGATTACAAGATTGGGCTCCATCCAGAAAACCTAGCTGATGAAGTAGGGGGTATCATGGGAGAAAAGAGATGTGTAATAGCTACTTCTTGTTTGTTTGTTTGTTTGTTTGTTTGTTTGTTTGTTTGTTTGTTTTTTGATACAGGGTAGTTTGGAGCCTGTCCTGGATCTCGCTCTGTAGACCAGGCTGGCCTCGAACTCACAGAGATCCGCCTGGCTCTGCCTCCCCAGTGCTGGGATTAAAGGCATGAGCCACCAACGCCCGTAGACTTTTTTTTTTTTTAAGTGAACAAGTAAGGTAAATTATTCAGAGACTCTGAAGAATGTTGTGAGAATACTTCTGGAACGGGATTGGAAGGGATGAGAAGTCACCGTGGACCGAAGCCAGGGTACCTCCTGAGAGGCTTTCATGTCGGGTCTGGTTTGTATTTTCACAAGGCGGGACGGGCAGAGAGACAAGCTCTTACAGACGCCTCTGAGGCAGCAGGCTGCTAAGGGCGACGGCCCCCTGTTCCAGCTGTTCCTGCAGGGCACTCTCTCCCAGGGAGCAAGTGAGGTCATGTTTGGCAAACAGGCGGTAAACGCGGTGCTTTAAGTAAATCACTAACTAAATCAACAAATCACTACGTGATAACTGGTCTTTTCTGCCTTATTCTACTTCAGACACCGAGAAGACTAGGCAGTGAGATCTCCTACACTATATTCACGTCAAATGTGCCCGTTACCCAAATGCCATCAGATTTTTTTTTCTATTAAGAGCCTTCACGCCAGGTATAGTGGCACACTACTTTAGTCCCTGCACTTGGGAGGCAGAGGCAGGCAGATCTCTGAGTTCGAGGCCACTCTGGTCTACAGAGCGAGTTCCAGGACAGCCAAGGCTACACAGAGAAAGTCTGTGTCAAAAAATCACAACAAAGAGTTTTCATGAGAGGCCTGGGTGTGATGGTGTGATTTCAAGGCCAATCAGATCATCGAACTTTCCTCTTGAGGCAGAGTGAGTGTCAGAGGACTGAGAGGGCCCGTGACCCGGCAGCGCCTGCCCTGGACTAATCTAATAGAGGAGCAGCTGGACGCTCAGATACACCTGTGTCCACATCTCATGGGGGAGGGGGGGCTACAGGAGCACCAAGAGCCTCTCAGTCCCGAGGTCTGATTCAAGGTGTGTTTTGTTCCCTTCGGACCATCACCTAGTTTCTGCTGAGGAGAGGGATTAGCATCTTTTCTTAAAAATCTGTAAGAAAGATGGGCGGTGGTGGTGCACGCCTTTAATCCCAGCACTCCGGAGGCAGAGCCAGGCAGATCTCTGTGAGTTCGAGGCCAGCCTGATCTACAGAGTGAGTTCCAGGAAAGGCACCAAAGCTACACAGAGAAACCCTGTCTCGAGAAAAAAAAAAAAAAAAAAAAAAAAAAAAAAAAAAAATTCAGCGCCACCAAAAGGTGGTTCGTCATCTAAGAAATATGTAACATTCGGCTTTTCCATGTGAGTGTACACCTTAGCGGCCTTGGCATCATGTTCTACTGCCATTCTATTCTGCTTTATGGAGAGAGATTGATTACTTATTTACTTATTTGGTTTTTCAAGACACAGTTTCTCTGTGTAACACCTCTGGCTGTCCTGGAACTTGCTCTGTAGACCAGGCTGGCCTCAAATTCAGAGATTCACCTATCTCTGCCTCCTGAGTGATGGGATTAAAGGTGTGGCCCACCACCATCTGGCTAACATATTTCACCAGCATTTTCTTCCCCCCACCTTTTGTGTGTGTGTGTGTGTGTGTGTGTGTGTGTGTGTGCGCGTGCGTGCGCGCGTGTGTGTGTTCTGCCTGCATGTACACCTGCAGGCCAGAAGAGGGCATCAAATCCCATTATAGATGGTTATGAGCCACCAAGTAGTTGCCGGGAATTGAACTCAGGACCTCTGGACAAGCAGCCAGTGCTCTTAACCTTTGAGCCATCCTCCCAGCCCCCAACTCACCAGCATTTTCAGACTTGAGCATTTTAATCTCCTCTGTTTTCACCTTCAGATTCTCTCTGAGAACTGCATTGTCACAGTTTAGTCTGGAAAAAAAAAAAACCCTAGATAATTAACACCTCTTCGATGAGCAAAAACATTTTATTTCTACAATTATTACAGGTTATTTATTTTATTTGTGGGAGGCACAAAAGTGCACATATTGGGGTCAAAGGACAATTTGTGGGAGTGGGTTCTCTTCTACTATGTGGGTCCTGGGATCGAACTCAGGTCTTTGGGCTTCGAGGCAAGTGATTTTTATCTACTCAACCATCTCACCCACCTTCAATTTATACTCTTAACTCTTTTAAGAGTTGAGAAATAAGCAGGCCCAGAATTTGCATTAATTCGCATTCTCACTCACATTAATGTAATTTTAATTCAACTCAATAACCGTTTGGACACTGACTCTGTAACAGGTCTTCCTGTCAGTCAACTTGAATATTGGTCGATATGAGTCACTGTAGGCCGTGGACTCTAACCACTGGACTAACTAAGCTAATGAGGAAGCTGACAACAGAAAACTGTGCATGGGGGAGGGCATATGAAAAGTCTATAACTCCTGCTCAATGTTGCTTTAATTCTAAAAAAAAAAAAAAAAAAAAAAAAAGAGGCAAAGTCCTTCACTGGGGGATGGTGGAGAGAATAGCCACCCATGTTCCGAGGGCCTTTATTAAAAATAGCTGTAGGGCAGAAGCAAGCGCCAGTGGCCATCTAGGATTGGAGGAGTAAATAAATATGATCAGCCCGCACACCCACACCTTTAACCCCAACACTCGGGAGGCAGAGGCAGGTGGATCTCTGTTCAAGGCCAGCCTGGTCTACAGAGTGAGTTCCAGGACAGCAAGTGCTACACAGAGAAACCTTGTCTCCAAAAACAAAAACAAAAAACAAAACAAAACACCCAAGTATGATCTTCTTCTCGGAAGAACGTTGGAAATCTTGGAAATTCTGAAACATGTTACACAAAGGAACCTTTCAAGACGATTAAAAAGGACAAATACTGTATGATTCTGTAAATGTGAAGCCCTTGGAGTAGGCAAATTCACAGAGAACAGAAATTGAACGTCAGTAGTCAGGGGCTGTGGGAAGCACAATGAAGAGTAGCTGTGTGATGGGATTCGGGGTGAGTGTGGTGATGACTGCACAGTGAACTTCTCCCCGTGGATTTTTATTTGTCTGGTGTAGCTTGGGCTGACCTTGAACTCTCTAAATAGCTGAGGATGATCTTGAACTCCTGATTCTCCTCCTGTCAGGTGCCCAGAGTCTTGCTCTACAGCTTACACTTAACTGCTCCCCCTGCTGGCTCCCTGGTGTCATTACAGGCTGTGTGTGCACCACGCCCGGTCTCACGTGATCATGTCATTTGATTCTGGAGACAGGATCTTGCCGTGTAGCCCTGGCTGGCCCAATTTCCACTGCAGTCCAGGCTGCCCTCAGACTCACAATAGTCCTTCTGCTTTAGCCTCGAGTATTGATGTTATGAGCCAGCAACCCTATGTGGGATTTAAGGTCACTGAAGTATTCGTTTTAAAACGGGCAGGATGGTAAATGTTATGTTAGAGTTCACATGATTAAAAAAGTACAAAGGAGGAAGAAAGGGCTGGCAATGCAGCTCAGCAGGGCAGCATTCGTCCAGCCTGCCGGAATGCACGAGGCCCTGGGTTTGACCTCCAGCACTGCAAAAAACCAAACGGAAGGAAGAGCAGGAGGGCACTATTGAATAACGGTGGGGTTAGTTACGAAACTTTCCTTAATTATCCAGCACCGGAAGCTTAGCAGGAGAAAGAAACCTCGTTAGAACAGAAACCCAGGGGTCAAGGGCACACACCACTCTTGCAAAGGACCCAAGTTCAGTTCCCAGCACCCATGTCGGGCAGCTGGAGTTACAAGGAGTGTAACTCTAGCACCAGGGGTCCAATGCCCTCTTCCAACCTCTGTGGGCACCTCCACTCACGTACACATGGGCACACTTAGACACATAGATGCATGATTAAAAGTAACAAAAGTAATCTAAAAAAAAAAAAAAAACACACACAAGCCAGAGCTTATTAAGCTTAAAGCTTTAATAAAAATACCAATCAATTGGACCGGTCAGATAGCTCAATGGGTAAAGGCATTTGCTGCCGTGGCTGAATTCCGGAGTTCAATTCCTAAGATCCACATAGTAGGAGAGAACCAACTCTTGCAAGCTGTCCACTGTCCACTGACCTCTACATATCACCACTGTGTTCCTGTGTCATGCCCACCCCCCCTTAATAAACAAAGGTAAATTTTAAAATAAAAAAGATACTTATCAAGACACTTCAGGATGATAGTTGTTGCGATTACTCTATGCTCTACTCCAGACTGACGTCAGATTATTAAAAAACAGTCATGAGATGGGTTGTTGGGGGTATAGCTTCGCTGGTCAAGTGCTTGCCTAGTACCCAGGAAGTCCTGGGTTTAGTCACCAGCACCATGTAAACTGGGCAGGGCAACCCACACCCATAACCTCACCCCTCAGGAAGTGGAGGCAGGAAGATCAGAAGGTCAAGGTCATCTTTGATGAACCTGTGATACACAAGGCCCTGTCTCAAAATAAGTCAATAAATATAACCATGATAGTAAAGTTTCCCAACTAAAAATGAAATGTAGGGCCAATGAGATGGCCTAATGGGTCATTTGCGCCAAGCCCAGTGACCTGAATTTTCTCCCCAGGATCTACATGGTGGAGAGTGAACTCCTGCAGGTTGTCCTCTGACTTCTCATGCTCACTGTAGCATGTGCTAGCCCCCCACAGAAATTAATAAATACATGTAAAGCAAATGAGAGAGAGAGAGAGAGAGAGAGAGAGAGAGAGAGAGAGAGAGAAACACAAAATAGGTTTCCTGAAGTTCCAGGAATTGGTTTTCACAATGAATTTTTTTCTTTCTCTAATTTTCCCCACAAAGTTAGTGAGTATAAACCCAGAGCCTTGCCCATGCTAGCCCAGTACCTGCATATAAATACACACACACACACACACACACACACACACACACACACACACACAGACAAATACACGTACAGTTTAGCTGGGAATGGCAGTACACTTCTGTAATCACTTGGGCTTGGGAGGCTGAGGCACGCCAGCCTAGGCTATGTATCGAGAGCCTTTCTCAAGAATAAGAAAAAAAGGAGGGAGGGGGTCTAGAGAGATGGCTTAGTGGTTAAGAGTGTATAATGTGTTTTTAGAAGACTCCATGGGCTGGAGAGATGGCTCAAAGGTTAAGAGCATTGGCTGCTCTTCCAGAGGACCTAAGTTCGGTTCCCAGCAACCACATGGGGGCTAATAGCCACCTAAAATGAGATCTGGTGCCCTCTTCTGGCGGGCAGGGATACATGCAGATAGAATACTATAAACATAATAAATAAATCTTAAAAAAAAAAAAAAAAGACGATTCCAGTTTGGTTCCCAATACCTATGTCAGGTGACTTAGAACTGCCCAGAACTCCAGCTTCAGGGGATCTGATGCCCTCTTCTGCCTAAAACTACATTTGAATTAGATGCATTTTAAAATGTTCCTTGGGACAATTATGGACAATACTATCCATAGCTGGGCTGAGGGTGGGCCTCGGTTGTAATGTAACTGCACAGCACACACAAGGCCCTAGGTCTAATCCTCACTGCCATTCATGTACAAACCTGTCATATTTTTGGGTCCAAGATTCCTCTATAGTTTTAAATCTATCGTGATCAAATTCCATTTCCCACTGCAAGGCATTTATTTCCTATAGAAAGAGAAAGAGCACCTTCAGATAAAAAAGTAAACAAACAAAAAAAGAGCATCTCATGGAAAATTATCAGTATAAACCATTTTGAGTCACAGAATGGGTGAAAGTCATTTAATCATAGAACAATGAAAAGAAAACGCCACTCAGAAGAGTCAATGGCATTTGTAAAATACATTGAATGGATTTTTTTTTCTTAGCACTCAGACACACTTTGCCAAAGCTCACTGAACACAGAAATTTCGAACGGTTTGGGTTCAAACTTTGGTTGTACTGAGCCCAGATTTCTCAGAGCCCACCTTTGCCCATGTAGACACCAGAAACTAAATTTACTCTTGGGAGTCTCAGCCCAAACGGCCCCATCAAAGAGGAATCCAGTTGACACAGGAGAGTGACATCCGTGATGATCCTAAGTCTACATACAGTGGGGGGACTCAGAAACACGCTGACCCTGCCTGGGGCACAGGACCGGTCTAGGTTGGCGGACCTTCTGCTTCCACAAAAGGGACCTGACGAGGCTGCACTTTACCCATGTGACAATCTGATTTCAAATGTAAGTGTCCAAAGGACCACCATCAGAGACTGAGCACTCCTTGCAGGAGCACCCCCGCCCCCCGCCGCCCGCTACTGTGCTGAGCCTAAGGAAATTACATTTAAATCTTATCAGACTGAGCATGCCAA